CAATGCGCACGGGAAAACGGCGCGTGCCCCACTGCCTGCGCAGGCGTAGCTCCAACGGCGAAGCCGAGGAGCAGTGCGCGTGCGTCTCGCTTGGGAGCGTGGGGGCGAGCCTTGAGATTGCCACCTAGCGCTCAGAAGAGCCGTTGCACCCTTTCTGTTGAGGGTGGGGCTCTGTTTTACGTCCCTACCAACCTGTTTCTAAGTTCAGCTTTAGTTTTTCAATTAGTCTTTAAAGACTTGTTTATTTGTATTTATTTTATGTGTATGAGTGTTTTGCTTGCATGTTTGTAAGTCCGCCGTATGCGTATAATGCCGAAAGAAGCCGGAAGAGAGCGCTGCTGAACCTTTACCAGAGTAGCCAATGCTCTTAACTTTGGAGTTATATTTTTACCCCTTGGTTCTAGTTTTGAAAGAGTTTGCCAGGAAGCCCAGACAGCAAAGGATGACCTTGAAGGAGGAAACTGACTGACTCCCAAAAGAAGTTCTCTAAATTCTTCTGTGTGCAAACACAAAATAATTGTAAAGAAAAGAGCCCAAACAACAACAACAACAACAACAACAACAACAACAACAACGCCTGGTGGTAGTGGCTCACACCTTTAATCTCAGCACTCAGGAGTTAGAGACAGGTAGATCTCTGTGAGGTGGATCTCTGTGAGTTCGAGGCCAGCCTGGGCTACAGAGCGAGTTCCAGGACAGGCACTAAAGCTACACAGAAAAACCCTGTCTCAAACAAACAAACAAACAACCGAGCCGGGCAGTTGTGGCCCACGCTTTAATCCTAGTAGTTGGGAGGCAGAAACAGGTGGATCTCTAAGTTTGAGGTTAGTCTGGTCTACAGAGTGAGTTCAAGGACAGCAAGGGCTACACAGAGAAAACCTGTTTAGAAAAAAAACAGAAAAGAAAAACCAACAAACTGAACATTAAAAGAGAGCCGATGTCTACTGAGAGTTCGCTGCCCACACGTTGCACTAGAACTCTAGTGAAGCTGTGGAACAAACGGCTTGGCATGTACTGGCAGCTAAGGCTGAAGCCTTTCCCTTCGTTGGCGTCACCATTTTCTCTTAGTCAATTACCCATTTTTCTTTGTGGACTCCTTTAAATATTCTTCCCCGAAGTCAGATCCCAAGTTGAGAAATCAGCCTTGGAAACTGCAGCGTTTTCTGACCTCCAGACTGTTTGATGCCGGCCATGAGGCACTTTAATGGCTACGTCTGGCTGAGATTGTACAATTCAAGGTATAACGCAGATGGGAAAGAAGGGGGATTACAGGAGGATGCTCAAGCGGGATGGTAAACTGCTTCTGTTTCTCCCACACCAGAGGGTGTTATCACTTGGGGGTTTTGGTAGTTCTGTGTGTATCAACCCCTTTATACAGCAGGGCTCCCCCTCAAACCCCCAGTTAGACACAAACCACACCCAAACACCTGTTTTCACAGAGATTCGTTATTAAACAGGGAAGAAATGTTAAAGTGGCTGCTTTCTGACTCAGGCAGAAAAACAGCCCCAAATGACCCTTGTAAAAGGGGAGGTCTGTGTTAGAATGTGCTAGCACTTGGTGGTATATTTTGATTGGGCATGTTAATTTGATGAACCAAAGGGGGCTTTTGAGTGCTGGACTTCAGTACTTTGATATCTGGACCTTGGTAATCAGTCTCAAGAGGAGGCAGTGGCCAAATAAGGGACTAGACCTTGGTGGCTAGCTTTAGAATGTAATCTAACGGTTTTTATTAGCAAGGCAGAGGGGATGGGGAGAAGGGCAAGGCCTGCCAGAGCCACGTGCTGGAGCGGGCAAGACTCCCTTCAGTACACATATATCTCCTCATCCCAGATAAGAGCCCACAATAGACCATGTGGATTCTGAAGAGTTTCTGTGCCTTGAGAAGCCTCTCCAGAGACACAGCAATCCAAACAGACCAAATCAAACCAAATTAGAAAAAGCCCAGGTTTAATGGGTAAAATGCTCCCAGATGATTTTCCAGCCTTCCCTCTCCCCATAGGAGACGGGAAAGAGAGACCGGAAAACCACATGTCTGTTTTCTGGGGGGCAGTTTAAATACACTGTGGGAGTGGTCTTGAGCATCTCTGGGGGAGTGGTCACCATTTGGCAGGCTTTCTGAGATATGGCAGGGTTTGGAGAGAGATGGGGGAGGGGGCTTGGGACGGAACTTCCACCAGAACAGATATCATCCGTCTTAGAGTTTCTATTGCTGTGAAGAGATGCTGTGACTATGGCAACTCTTTTTTTGTTGTTGTTGTTGTTTTTCCCATCTATTTATTTATTTATTTATTAAAAATTTCCACCTCCTCCCCGCCTCCCTTTTCCTTCCCCCTCCCCACTTCCTCCTTCCTTTCTAAGAGTAGTCAGGGTTCCCTGCCCGTGGGAAGTCCAAGGTCCTCCGCTCTCCATCCAGGTCTATAAAGGTGAGCATCCAAACAAACCAGGCTCCCACAAAGTCAGTCCATGCAGTAGAATCAAAACCCAGTGCCTTTGTCCTTGGCTTCTCAGTCAGCCCTCACTGCCAGCCACATTCAGAGTGTCCAGTTTGATCACCTGCTCTAACAGTCCCAGTCCAGCTGGCCTTGGTGAGCTCCCATTAGATCAGTCCCATTGTCTCCGTGGGTGGATGCACCCCTCGTGGTCCTGACTTCCTTGCTCATGTTCTCCCTCCTTTTGCTCCTCATTTGGACCTTGGGAGCTAAGTCCAGTGCTCCAATGTGAGTCTCTGTCTCTATCTCCATCCATCGCCAGATGAAGGCTCTATGGTAATATGCAAGATATTCATCAGTGTGGCTATGGGACAAGGCCAGTTCAGGCACCCTCTGCTCTGCTGCCCAAGGAACAATCTGGGGACTTCTCCTTGGACCTGGGAACCCCTCTAGAGTCAAGTCTCTTGCAAACCCTAAAATGGCTCCCTTAAATAAGATATTTACTTCCCTGCTCCCATATCCACCCTTCCTCCATCCCACCCATCCCATTCCCCCAAGCTCTCCCAAATCCTCCCCTTCTCCCTTCTCTCTACCCTATGGCAACTCTTGTTTTGTTTTGTTTTTTTGAGACACTTGCTCAGTAGACTAGGCTGGCCTCGAACTCACAGAGATTCACCTGCCTCTGCCTCCGGAGTGCTGGGATTAAAGGCGTGTGCCACCACTGCCCTGCAGGACCATGGCAACTCTTATGAAGGAAACATTTAATTAAAGTGGCATCTTATGGTTTCAAAAGTTTAGTCCATTAACATCATGGTGGGGAGCGTGGTGGCTGGAAGTATGGCGGCATGCAGACAGATATGGTACTGGAGAATTGTGGTAGTTTGTGGTAGTCACAGGGAGTGACACTATTAGAAGGTGTGACTTTGTTGGAGTGGGTGGGAGTGGCCTTGTTGGAGTAAATATGTCACTGTGGGGATGGACTTTGAGGTTTCCTATTCTCAGGGTACCACCCTGTGTCTCAGGTGACTTCCCCTCTCCTTCAAAATGTAGAACTCGTCCTGTACAATAAAAGAACTTCTGGAGGCATCACAATCCCTGACTTCAAACTCTACTACAGAGCTACAGTATTGAAAACAGCCTGGTATTGAATGCATAAGAACAGACAGGAGGACCAATGGAACCGAATAGAAGACCCGGATATCAATCCACACATCTTTGAACACCTGATCTTTGATAAAGAAGCGAAAAATATCAAATGGAAAAAAGAAAGCATATGTAACAAGTGGTGCTGGCATAACTGGATATCAGCATGTAGAAGAATGAAAATAGACCCATATCTATCACCATGCACAAAACTCAAGTCCAAATAGATCAAAGACCTCAACATAAAGTCAGCCACATTGAACCTTTTAGAAGAGAAAGTGGGAAGTACACTTGAATACATTGGCACAGGGAACCACTTCTTAAATATAACCCCAGCAGCACAGACACTGAGAGAAACAATTAATAAATGGGATCTCCTGAAACTGAAAAGTTTCTGTAAAGCAAAGGACATGATCAACAAGACAAAATGACAGCCTACAGAATGGGAAAAGATCTTCACCAACCCCACATTAGACAGAGGTCTGATCTCCAAAATATACAAAGAATTCAAGAAATTAGACACCAAAAGATCACATAATCCAATAAAAAATGGAGTGCAGACCTAAACAGAGAACTCTAAACAGAGTTTAAACTCTAAACTCTTTCAGGTCTAAAATGGCTGAAAGACACTTAAGGAAACATTCAACATCCTTAGTCATCAGAGAAATGCAAATCAAAACAACTCTGAGATTCCATCTTACACCTGTAAGAATGGCCAAGATCAAAAACACTGATGACAACTTATGTTGGAGAGGTTGTGGGGGAAAGGGAACACTTCTGCATTGCTAGTACAACTCCTTTGGATGTCAGTGTTGCGATTTCTCAGAAAGTTAGGAAACAACCTTCCTCAAGACCCAGTAATACCACTTTTGGGTATATTTCCAAAGGATGCTCAGTTGTGCCACAAGGACATGTGCTCAACTATGTTTATAGCAGCTTTTTTTGTCATAGCCAGAACCTGGAAACAACCTAAATGCCCCTTGATTGAAGAATGGATAAGGAAAATGTGGTACATTTACACAAT